ATTTTTAGAATGACTGTATTTCGCAAATAATCGTTTGCTCGGAAAGGCAACGCGAAAAAAACGCAGAAATTCTTGTATACAAAAATAAATTTTATCACAGCTGGACGATTAACAGCTTAGACTAGAAAAGAAGCTATTATTCTGAACAGAGAGACGTCAACAATTTTGCAGTAAGTTGATCTTTTGTAACCTCTCACGAAATTATTGGAAAATCTCTAAGATTGTGAGCGTGTTTAAAGCGAATGGAAAGTAAGCTCATCATTGCCGTCTTCATGCGTTTTCTTTTTGATGATTTTGTTTGAGTCATCTTGCTTTGCACATTTCAGTGGGTCTCCTTTCACACTATAGCCATAGTGACCGGTCATCTTTGCTTTAATCATTTCGGAGATCAGCTTATTTCCTTCACTTGATCTTCTTTTATAATTACGCAGTTGATGGTCGTCCTCCCGTATAAGGTGTTCGGGCTCTTTATTTGAATCGTCTGTAATTTCATGCTCGTCAAACAGTTCTTTTTTCATAAATGTCATGGTATCCTTTGGCTCAAATTGACACATCGAATCTTTGCGTGCGCCAGCTCCATTCATTATTGTCTCTCTTTGCTCTTGAAAAACTTGTGTAGCACCTAAGGTTCTTCCAACAAGAGGTAGAACGGGATTTCCATCTCCACCGATATGGAAACGTTTGCTTGGCAGTCCATTTTGACCATCACCATTCATCAAATCAAACATTGTTCCTTCGTTACAGTTCATCACAACGGGATTCTGAGGCATATATCCACCACTTGTAGCCAGGAAATTTGGAAGAGGCTGTTGAAACTCTGGATGTGAGAGAAAACATTGCTGAGTTGAGACGGCCGAGTCTGACGACGAACATGACTGTGCACTCTGACTGTTGTTCTTTTTTCCATTCCTACGTTGGCGAGACTTTTGCAGTTGGACTGTACCATCTTGTGGTGCTTTCTGCGTTTCTATCTCGCAGAGATCACATCGCGACAAACGGTATCTTCGCGCAATGGTGTCACGACGCATTGATGGAGGTCGTTTCCGTCCGTTTTTTCGAAAAAATAGGTTGCACGCGCTGAAAATGATTTGATCATAAAATGTGAAGAAGCTGAGTGTACTACAGTAATGTCATACTTATCAAAAGTTTTGCTTTGTGTCAAAAGTTGATAAGACTTTGGCATAATGTTCTCCGGACAAAAGCTCTAGCCCTTACTTGAAGTGGTCTTTCCCAATCAGATGTATA